ACAAGCAGCCTTCCTGTGATGTTGGCGTTATTTAATCTAATTTTCATTGGCGCTTTATTTGTAAATATCGGAAGAAGGAGATTGTTGTATGCTGGAGGTGGTGTTTTGAACGGAAAAGTATCTATTTTCACTATCGCTGCTTGCGTGCGGGGTAATATGTCCAAACAGGCTATGTACCCTTTCTTTCTGCCAGGAATTTTTGTGTCGGAATAAATTTTTTTGTCAATCAATTAATTGTTTGTTTATTCGAATCCATTGTGCGACCCGCGTAGAGTATTTATATCCTAGATTCATTTCAAGTGTTGATAAAAATTTTAAATTTCGGAAGGTGATCGAGGCCAAATTATTAATTTTATATTGGGATTTTTGTTTGTAGCAGATGCCTAATGTGTATAATAGCGTAAGGAGAAATTACAAACGTTTTTTTGAGCAAGTTGGACAGGTGTTTTGTTGATAGTGTAGTTGACCAAATACCATTGCACACACCAATACTTTTAAATTAAATGTTACAAACGGAAATGGTAACTAGCTATGTCGGTAATTGTTAGTGTTAACTATTAGTATAAGATAAAAAAAGACAGTTGTGTAAACTACGGGAGGCAAACGTTTTACTTAGCTTCGGCACTTGCAGAACTGATCGGTCACCCTGTATGTCTGATTTCATTTTTTATTAATGTTAGATGTGATCATGTGTTGGGATTGAATGTAATACCAATCACGTCATTTAATTTCGCTTTGTTTTGCTTGATTATTTTATTGCAAAGGGATGTTGTTAGTAACATCCGGTAATAATTTGCGTGGTTATCTCAAGTTTTTCTCCAGTCGTAGATAAGAAGCTTGTTATCGCTGAGTACCCTAATTAAATTTTAAGGCATTTTATCGCCGAATTTTTCGAACACGCACAGCATTTTGTAAAGGAATGAGGAAAGAAGTAAATGGAAAGAAAAAAACGTTTTAAGTAAACAAACCGGTCGCTAAAGCGTTTGTTCCGTGGTGGCCGTTTTAGGTGGAAGACGTGAATCGATTTTTTTAGGTTGAAAACGGTCAGTTTTTCCAGGTAACAAGTTTTATAAGAAAGTTAGTGAGCTATTAAGAGATTAAAGTCGTCGTATTTCAAAATTGAACATTAAGTCAGTTTAAGCGGAAGGGTACTTTCCATTTTACGATAAAGTTTAATCGTAGTGTTGTGGTTATCGAGCGTTTTAAGGTCTTCAAGTTATCAGTTAGTGGAAGTTTGTCCGCAATCAAAGGACCAAAATTATAACTGTAATTACAACGGAGTCAGTGTCGTTTAAATCGAAGTTTGAGTGGAATCGAAGAAGTGAAGTTCCGAAATATAATTATTTTGTACTTTGTGTGCCAGTTCGTTGGAAAATCGCAGTTACGGCAGGAGATTCTGGATTATTAACAGTTTAAAGTAATTTTTAAAATTGTCCATCGATCTCTTGTGGCGTGGCATGTGTTATTCTGGCCCTGCGTGTCTGTTTTTCTTTCAAAAAAATTTTTTTCATCTGTAAATGTTGGTTGGTTATGATTAATCAAGCCCAAAATTACGACCTACCGAAGAATGTTCATGTTAAATTTTTCTATTTCGTAGCCAGGAATAGATCAAGTGTTAAATACATTGTGTTCATTAATTCTTTGGAATTGTGGAGGCGGTTAAGGCTGCTGAATTTGTTTATATTAATAACGTTTGCGTCAATATCGAGATTTTCGTCTTGTAATTATTTCTTTTAATTAATGGAAAATGAACCATATTTTGCAATAACCGTTTCCTCTGATATCATAGACAATTTGAGTGACTATACTTCATTATTTTCAAAATGGCGACCATTTTAACATTAAAATCTAAATTGTTAAATATTTAAATGCTCGCCATTCTGAAAAAAAATATTAAGTCAGTAGTTATTTTTATGAAATTCAGCTGCCATCTTGAATTTTGACTGACTTTTTGGTCCGTGATTAATAGAGATTTTGAATATGTTGACATAGGCACCCCCAATAAAAATGCAAGTACAATAATTTGTGTTGCAATTTTGCCCAGGTCAAGGGAACTTTTACACCATTTTGACTGTAGGTACCTACTAATACCGTGAAAGAACGTGAAAATTCACAATACATTAATAAAAAATGAAATAATAATTATATTATTTGTACTGGAAACGTATAAATTTATCTAACTCATACAGTTTTGTATGGCAATTTTGGGAAAAGTCGCTAAAAAACAGTTCGACGAAATTTTTTTGTTATAGTTAATTATTGTTTTCTTCTTTGTTACACAATTTTAAATATTTCGTTTAAATAAAATTTTTAAATTGCAAAAAAAAAACTGCAATGGATTGGAATCCTGAAATATAGCTCTATTGCAATAACTTCATAACACAAAATTATTGGAGCTCGCTAAGCTTATTCAAGCTTCTCGAAAGGAGCAAATGAAGTTATTTATCGTTAATAACATTCGCAGTAGTAGTAATGTATTTACAGAGCGACAGGAAATGAAAACAGTTTTTTTTTTGCACAAACTTATTCTGAAAAGCTATACATAATTTTAAAATTCTCTTCAAAGGAAAGAAAATAAATTGTTAATTAATTTCCCGAGATTACTTTAAAACCGCCATAAATTAAAAACGTCAATTTCGCAAGATATAACAATGTGTCAGTATCATGGGGTAAAAGACAGCTCAAATTCAATTTTAAATGTGTTTCGCTGCCATACTTCGAAAATATTGAATTTAGTTATAAAAAATTCAAACTTTACAAGGTATAAAATAGACACGTATGTTACAGGTACCTACCTACCGCTGTAAGAAAATTTTCCATTTGCGAACTTTTCACATCTTAAATTTAATACAGAAAATACAGATAGCGTTTTTCGGCGGAGTTCAAAGGGGAAACGTGTAGTACGAATTCTAGTATATATTTTTAAACTTCAATTCTGATATCCCTCCACGCAACCCGAAGGGAGTATTAGCGACGGCGGGCGTCTCGTGTGTTGGAAGAAAAATAGGTTAATTTGGCGGGATTAAAGACGCATATTTTATTTGCATATGGAAAATTTCCAACTAGCATGCAAATGTTAGGTTTCAAATATAATACGAATGCAAATTGCTCGTGGCCGGTAGTGCAGTTTCGCTTATTGTCTTCTGTCGTGTAGCTACATAGATTTGCATTTGTTTTAATGGAGTTCTAGTACTGTACGCAACAAAAAATTCCTTGCACGGAACTGAATATATGCTTATATGGTATTTCATGGAGCTCAGGTGCTCTGAGCTCAATTAAATTTGACATGAAATGATTTATTGTGAAAACAATAGTATTTAAATGCACGTGAAATGTTATGAAAGGAACATACCATAAACTAGAAAACATCAGAGAATGCCCCCACCCACATCAGTTTTTCTTCCAGTAAAGAAGATGATCTAAATGAGGATCTTCCTTCTTCGATCTGGAAGTTTATGGATGGTGAAATTGGAGTGGAAACGGATATTCGAAAGGCATATCAAACGATCTCGCTACATCCCGAAGATGGAAAATTCGTCAAAGTTTTATAGTGGGCGAACAAGGATAAAAAGAGTATGATTATGTTCCGTCACGCTTGTGTAGTTTTTGGAGTCCTTGGTGCTGGGAGCTGTCCTGGAGCTTCACTTAAAATCTGAAGCTGAGGACGTGATCACAGCCAAGAAGCTAATGGATTGCTTCTTTGTGGACAATTTGGCTACAATTGTGCGAAATATTGACTCGTTTTACGGAATCTGCAATAAAAATTATGATCAAAGCCAAAATGGAGATTAGGAAAAAAGTTCGCACTTTTGAGTGAAGGTATGAAAATTGCCACATATGCTCTATGACCCTTGTAGCGCCACGCTCATTTATCTCTAGAACCCCCGTTTTTGGAGGGAGGGGATGCATTTTTTCGACTCTACTAAGCATCCACCACTGGGGAACCGATAAGCCCAGTAGGAGTTCCCCACCCACTTTGGCGTTAACTAGCCGATTTCTATATTTGTTTGTTTTTTTCAGTGTTTTAGCTCCAAACTTGCGTAATTAGCCATAAAGGCACATGTGATTATTAGTGCTACGTTAGTGTTGTTTTTTTGCATTCGAGCATTTCATCTTTTCAAGAAAAACGAAAAAAACTAAAATATTGTGTGAAGTTGGCCCCGCCCCTGATTCCTATGTTTAAAAATCCACATACGATCGTTAGTGCCGTTTTGTGCTCGAAGATTACGATTCCAACGTTTTATCTTTACAAGAAAAACGAAAAAAATTAAAATATTTTGTGCAGTTGGCTCCACCCATTATTCCATTATCCGTTTTTATAAAAACGCACATAAAAATTACCACATCCTGTTTTACAAAGAAGAAGGGGGGTCTGGGGGGTATGGAATATCCTCCAGGATGATTTGCTGTGTGACTGGGGGGTATTTCACCAGTCTATCCCCAGAAAATTGTCTTTTTTCTTTGGAAAAAGGAAATTGAACCTCAGTTTCTTGGCACTCGTTCATTCGAACCTTCGCCGCTACGCGGCTCAGGTTCGAAACTTGAACTCGTGGTAGAAAGGTAGACCTTTTTTAATCAGTAAGCAATAGAGGGTATTAGTTATGGGGAAAATTTGTATGGATTCGTGGTTAAGCACAAAGGGAAACCAGTGCGTGATCCTTACAGAAAATTAAAATGAATCAATTTGCGTTTGCCCATAAGTGTGACCAGTTAGTATCCAATTAAAAGTTGTGATTATTTCGCATCTGAACTACGGAAAGTTTAGCATGAAGCACTAAGTCGAGAACTATCAAGGAATTTCGTCGCCGAGTAAACTTTCGTCGCACAAATTGAGGTTGACTGTTAGGATACGGAAATCCGAAATTAGAGAAAGCGGCTTCTGATGTATATCGTACTCAAAAAACCTGGTATTTCCTCTTTAGTCCTTTTTAAGGGCACTTTACACAGTAATGTCGTAGTACTTGTGGGTGACCCAAAACACAGAGAAGAAAAAATGAAGATCAAAGCAAATCCTTTATTCAATGGTTAAACATTGTATACACAAGTTGAAGCTTATTATTCATCTCCCGAACCTCCACTGCCTTGGCCTTTCCCTTCGCTCTTTCCTCTACCGTTTCCTTTGCCTTCGCTTTTTCCTCTACTGTTTCCCTTTCCTGCACTTTTGCCCCTACCACCAGAGCTATCATCACCACTATCACCTTGAGAGTCGGCGTCTTGGGCGGAGACCTGCAAAAGCTATTAGTAAGTTGTCTTAAAAAAAGCTACCCTTACCTCGTAGATGACGAGGAATGCCAAAAGAAGAGCGAATGCGTAGAACTTCATGTTGAACTTGTGTCTGAATTTTGAAACGTCGCTCTCGATTTATATACTGTACTGTAATGATGTTCCTTTTCAATCTGAGGGTTCACATCATTAAATGTGAATGGCTTTTTTGCGGAAATTGTACATTTCCGGTTAATGATTCAATCGAAATTTACCTAAAAAACGTTAATTTGCCATTAAAAGAAACTGCCATAGAAATCGTGTGGACTGTTATTTTTGTTGCAAATTGAGCAGTCACCTCATAAATAAATTAATTGATGAAAATGCGAGTCATGGATCACATTTAATCAGATTGGTTACCAAGTGGCACGAATTTCAAGAGAATCTCAAGGGAATTCCATTTCTGATTGAACCTTATGAGACCCCCAAGTCAACTCCACTTCTTTCCAATCCCATAGCATGTGCCCTATGTTCTTTTCTTCCTCTCCACAGATTCTACATTTTCTTTCTTCTCCTTTTCTCCACTTCTCCTCCCCCTCTCCTCATTTCTGCATCTGAACCTCGCCATTATCTTAATATTTTTTCTCCCGTTCCATAGGTACTTCGGCAACCACGCTCATACTAGCTCCTTAGTTCCTTGTACCTACTGCTTAGTGCTTCCTTGTAAACCAACTATAAGAGTTGTGAGAGGGGTATGGATTCGATTACCTTTTCCCAAAGAATATTATGAAAGTGCTAATAGAAATAGAAAAGCAAATATCGAGGTCGATGCGGAAATTCTCCTGGTTTTTTTCTTCACTTGATCTCCATGTGGAGGGTTCTAAACTTCTTAGTATAAATAAAAACATAATTCCACTGATCCTTTCGATTGAATGAATGTCTTTAAACGATCGCCACTCAAATCTCCCCCTTCTCCCACTCCTTCAGAAAGCTTGTGCGCATTCTTTTCGAAGTCCGCGGATTTGATACTGGATTTGTATGTAGCTAAATGGAAGATTGTCCTTTTTGCCTATCTTAATGGCTATAGAGCATTATTTTCTTAAAGGATTCGGGATGTCTGAAGACAAAGTGTCTTCGGAATATGATCATTTCAGCATCGTGGAAACTGCAAGCAAATAAATTAACAATTACAGATGGCCTTCTGCGTTAATAAGAAACCATTTTGTAGGCATTCTTTAATCAGTAAGCAATATAGGGGATTGGTTATGGGGAAAAATTTGTATAGATTCGTGGTTAAGTACACGGGAAAACCAGGGCGAGATCCTTACAGAAAATTAAAATTAATCAATTCACGTTTGCCCATCAGTGTGAGCATTTTGGGAACGATCAATCCGTTGTATTAAAGATTTAATGAAGAGTTCATTGGGAGAGCTAAACTGGATCGGGAGGAATTACGAAATTGTTTAGAAGCGGACCATTGACGAGAGGCCACGGAAGATCTGAAAGATATCCGACCCTTGACACCATCGATTGGTAGCTATCCATCTTATAACTTATCACTTGACACCATCCTCTGGTCGTTCTTGGTGGATAGTCCCTGGTCGTTTCGGATACTGCGCGTTTTCCGGTTTTGAACATCGTGGCAGAGATGATTATGTACAAGAATAATGTTATTTTGGAAATATTTTTCAAAATCATACACCAAAATAAGATGGATTATAAAATAATTGGACCCCTAACAATAATATAATTACCAGAGCAGCAATTAATAAACGCGTTTAGGGGGTTATGGTTCAATTCCATTAAAATATTCACCGGTGATTTGAATTTACGGCAGGCCGTCGTGGGCTCGATGCGTAATTAATTGTAAACTACTCTGCATCGACGTACAAAATTTGTACCTACGCGCCGGGTTTTCGTAGGTGATGTTATTAACGCACAAACTTATCTGATATATATCTAGATGCTGGAAGGTTAACATCTTAGGGGTTAACCGTCGCTTGCTTACATCGGTTAATGTTAAACGGTGCGTGGGATGATCCTGATTTATAAACTCGCACCCGAGATTTACTAACCCTCTAGCCTGCGACGCGTGAAGGCATTCGAATTTATTTATTTAGAAAACGTATGCAAATTAAGCCGATATTATCAAAAGATACGGAGGGTAGTGGTCGGTTTTTTCTTCTGAATGGAGGGTTTTCGCTTACAAAGGCGTTGAGTTTCTCTCCACTTGCTCTTTTTAATCTTTTCTCATTGATTATCTTTTGAATGTGGCACTTCATATCAAACGAAGCGCTATATTTAACATGCAGAAAAAATGTACCTAGGCAAAACGATCGATGTGATTGTGTAGGTGAATCCCTCTGCCGCCGCTCTTTATGTTCAACTGAGCAAAAGTAAGTAGCGAAAAAATTCAATACATAAGCCCTGATGACATTTTATCTTGTTTCTTGTAACATCCATTCGCAACCTTGTTCTACTTTCATAGCACACTATCAATAATTAATGGTCCGCCCGTTCGCCTTAGTTTCAATTGCACCAATTAACGTGGTGAATTGTCATATTGTAGTTTTCCAGACGGAGACAAGATTATTGCACCCCCCTCTACAAGCCACAACAGCTAGATTTACAAACATCATTTACACCCGGTTTGCCCAAATTACACTAGACCCTAAATTGACTGGATTCGTAAACACACGTACTTGACAAACTTTTTAAAAACAATTACATTGATTATAATGTTGCTATTCAGTACACATAATTTCGAAAAAACTATGTAGGTCGCTGTGATCACCTCCCTTCACTGTACTGGTACAACACAAACATCTTTTTAAATTCATAAGACTAAAGATGAAGTACATTTCAAAAGCTCTCCATTCAGAAGCGTTACTAAGCGTCCGGGAGCATAACAACAGCGTCAAATCAAAAGAAAAGCACTCCGTTTTATTCAACACCCTCTTTCTAAATAAGCGTTCTGGAGAACCACTATATAGACATAAAAAAAGAGGAAAAATCCGCGTGCTTCTCGATATTTTCTACCCTTAAAGAATACCTGTATCTTTAACAAAGTCCATCGTTACCTCCTCTTGTCTAAATTTTTTTTTTTTTTCATTTCCAAGTAGGTGTTCCCTTTCCTTTGTGTACCTATGCTTCACACGGCATAACGGGCGGTCAGTCAGTCCCACTTTGTGCAGATGTTTATTCAAATGACAGTGGCCTGTGACCATTCCGGTCGGGAGTTCTATTTTCATCCTACTTAGCTTTAAGATGGACGATGCCAATTCTCGGTTTGGAGTTTCCAGAAAGATCTTGGAATGGTTCTGTCCTGGAATTTTTTATCAATGTCTGCAGTGATGTTTCGTGAGTTTTGCCTAAATCTTCTTTTAGGGTGTGTTATATGTAATCCCACAGGCCGATTCTGCCCTTTGTTCATTTTTGTGAGGCTCTTTGGAATCTGTCACTCTCTGGAATTTGTTCAATTTCCTCGTAGTACCTCCTCCACGAGTCCTTTCTTTTGTGGGTCAGCTTATCTCAGAGGCACCTTTGATAGCCTTGTGAAGGTGAGATTCGATCCTCCAGTTCCGCCGAGTTATTGACTCCTGCGGGACAGTTGTCGAGATTTACCTTTAGGTTATCTCTGTAGAGGTCCCAGTTGGTTCTTCTTGGATTTCTATAGTGTACAGTATAGGCATCACATCCGAGAAGGGGTTGCAATCCTCTCTGCTGACAGTGTGCCACCAGTTTGTTAACTTCTGTGGTTGGTGGTGGATCAGGTTGATCGTAAGGAAGGTATGCGGTTCCGAGGGTAAGACTCCTATCGCTCCTATCCCTTTCCACTGTCAGCAGCAGTCGAAGATCACTGGTGTCCTTACGGGACACTGGATGGTCAACTATCACCTGCATAACATTGGGCTCGCGGAGGAGTCAACGTGCAGGTTCTGTGGCGAGGTAGATGAAACTACCGAGCATGTGGTCTGTCACTGTGACGCTTTGATAAGGGACAGATATCAACTCCTTGGAGACAGATACCTGGAACCGAGGAGGGTGAAGCACCTTAGGCTAAACAGGGTCCTATCCTTCATTTAGAGGAACGGGCTCTGAACTCAGTTGCGAAGAAAGGGGGTAGGCACAATGGGCCTCTGGTGTGCCTAAGTGCTGCCCGGTCGGGCTCCCCTGCGAATAGAATAGAATAGTCAGCAGCAGTCACTCTGCCTCCACCTTCGTCGTGGATAGTAGTTTGAATGTCACTCTGGTAAAGTTCACGTATGGTCCATAATTGCAAGTGCCCCCCCCGCCTCTCCCAGGAAGTTTAGTCCATAAGGGCAATCAAATTTTTACCCTTAAGATCCTCCTTCCTGTCTACCATACGTCAACTGCTGATTGCAACTCCAGCATGTTGAATTTCAATCGTTTTCTCCGGTTGTGCCTGAATCGAGGGGACGTATGCCCTTGCTGGTATCCTTACGGTTCCATTGTTTGCCTTTTTCGAGCTACTTCCCTTGAGAGTGTTTTCACCAGACCGGTGTCGCTTTTGGGTCCCAATCTTCAGGGCAGTCGCGATAGATGCGTTACCTGGTTGCCTAGAGCTCCCAGGTTGCCGCACTTCAGTAGACGAGAGGTCAGATTGCTTAGAGCCAGAGCTGGGCGGAATACTTTCAAAAAGTATTTGAATACTAAATAGTAAATACTTTACACAAATCAAAGGTATTTGAATACTAAATACTTTTACGTCCAGCACAAGCGAATACTAGATACAGATACATTGAAAAGTATTCAAATACTTAAAAAAATCAGTATTCAAATACTTTAGAATACTTTCAAAAGTATTCTAATACTATCAAAGGTATTCGAATACTTTGAAAAGTATTCGAATACAGTAAAAAGTATACTTGTCACTCAAATACATTAAAAATTTAAAATAGTATACTAGATAAAAGGCTTAATACTACTTAAAAAATCAAGTTATACTTTGTATGGGGTTAGCTTTTTTTATATTTCTATTGTTATATACAAATTTAAGGGGAGTAAAAGCCTATTATTATTATTATATTATTATTATAGGAGGTACCCCTACCAGGACCTTTCTTATATCAATTATATCCTTAAGAATACGTGTACCAGTTTTCAAAGCGAGCGTACGTCGTGCACATGATACGTACGCCTTTCTGAAATTAATCCTAGCGATTTTGGAACAGATCC